TCTTGTCGTTTATCAGACCTATAGTAACATACTTATCGACGGGAGACCTATAGTCAGTATAAAGGGCACGCTCTTTCATACCCGATTAACCAGCCTCTCATGGCAAGTAAGACAACCAATAGCTTATATGACAGACGTACTTCTCGTTTTGTCATCCCTAACAGTTTTCAGTTAAAAAAAACTCGCCTTATGTCCAAATACATAACTCAGTGTTGGAATGTATGATTTTTAGCAAGTTCTGCAAAAAAACAGGAAAGGCTACCTGCTGTCCGCACTCCAAAATGTTATTTGAACACTTTACAAGACAACAAAGTCATCGCCAGTTAGGCCTGAAAACGCAAGTTGTCGCTCCCATCAATAATTCAGGTACCTGCAGAGGCGTGCTCTTTTTACAGGCTGCTGCTACTGGTAGCAGCAAGAGGATTTTTGAAGGCAAAATTGCAGTTATCTTTCCAATCTTATCCGACTTGAAATATAAAATGCCGCACGGCCGTGTGGTGAATATTTTTGTATCCTAACAGTCGTGATTCGAATACTAAGTTCCTGCAAGAGGTGTTCTGCCAGCTAACCCTGCTCCTTTGGGAAGCTGCTTACTCAGAAAAATATGCTTGTAAAATCTTTGGGAGATAATCGCAAGTTGCGAGGTCATATATGTTGTTATTTCTGCGACATGGAAAATGTACATCTTTGCATTTGGATGCACCGTAGGTATATTCTTTCGCCTTTCATTTTCAACGTCTCTTCTGCTGTGTACAGTCCTCTGTGAGAGATTGCATATTTCTATCATAAGAACAAGATTTACATTAAACGCTCCTCTAAATATTATAAAGCAATCGGTCGGTCTAATTTTCTCAATCAGCGTGAAGTAAAAAATTATTTCATTTGTCTCCGTGGTTCCCGTAGAGAAGGGACTGAAAATAATGACTATTTGTGTGCGCATGAAGTACACTGGAATAACCGTTTTGAAGATAAATATAAACTTCAATAAATAAATACTTAAGGCAAGCTATTAATCCATGATTTGTGTTGCGGTATTGAAACAGAGAATTTTCGTTCAAGTCTGCTTCTCGACCCTCTAATAATGTGATACCAATGTGCATAAGATATTTTTGTTTCATCGTTGTCCAACTAATTGAAATCGGGTTCACTATGCGCTTGCTAATTTTAAAAAATTTCCATCCACAGGCTTTTGCTCACAAACCGTCTCGTTCACCGATCAAAAATAAGAAGAAATATGCTCAACAAAATATCGGCAACTAGGCCTCAGTCGGTCACTATTAAAGACAGTAATATCGTTTTCATCAAGAGACGTCGAACCTCTTTCTTTCAATTAACATTAGTAAATGCTATAAGAAGTAATATATTAATATTCTATGAGCATTTCTCCGTCTTCTTCATCTTGTATGAACAAACCTTAAAATATGCGCAAGGTCCCCTCCCACAATGAATTTTTTTCTTTGAAACGAGACATTTTCAGGACATCACGTAACTAGGAGTAAGAAGTGAAGTTCCTTTACAGGAAAAAGCACAAAAAATTAAATATTTGTTTTAAAATCATCTCTGACTCTTTTTTCTACCAGAGTGTACCTCTTTTCTAATGTGGGGCACAACTCGTGTAACACAACATGCGTTTAAACGTGCTTGACTTGCATCGTAATATCTGCTACTGGTATTAAAATAACTAGGTTACACTTATGCTCACCAAAATAAATGGTCTAGCATGCCGTCCAGACAGGCGGAAGGTTCAAAGATTCCAGCTGCTCCTAAAGCGTTTTTTGATGCCTACCATAACGGTTGAGTGCCCTCAGGAGCTTAAGGTAGTGGTTTAAAACTCCATTAAAACCTCCTTTTACTATAAGGTATACTGATGTAAACATGCAAACATCTGGTTTTACGTAGTCGGCTTCATCAAAAAAATGTTCGAATGCTTCCAGTTGTATATGATATTATTTTCTAAGCGGCAAAACGATTCGCATTTACGTTTATCGCAGGGGCATTCGTAAAAAAATGCTAGAATAGAGGCTGTTCACTTTAAGGTAATTAAGTGGGGCTATTTTTCGATTGTCTTAATCAACCCGCCTTCAAGGTATTCGTTTAAAAGCTTATTGCCAGACTATGCGAAAAAATGCGAGATTGTTTAGGAACATTGCAGGGGAAACTTCAGTAGCCCATCGCTTTATCGATTAATTCTAATTTTTTCCCTTTTTTTCTGATTCTGAGAGAGGGGTAGCTTTTCAACAGCGCTTTCTACCTTAACGAGTACTAACACGTTAGTTGTGTAAGCAATTTGTTTAGGGTCCATTTACCTGTGAGTACCGAGCACTCTAGGTTAAGTAGAAAAGTAATTATCTGCAGCACGAATTTGGGGTTTATAGTTTGTGGCTCTACTACCATCCATAAAGTCTGGCCACTTAAACGGATAAAATTCCTGGTCTCTAAAATCAATCAGCTGCCTACATTGCAAAACTGCATGGGACGAATGCCATACAAATAGGGTTGCTTTCAGGACTTTATGTTGCTACTTTAAAAAAAGTATAGTTTCACCAGAAAAAAGCACGTTTTCCTGAACGCTACATTGCAAACGTTGAATGGAAAAACGGATGCGTCAGTATATCCAGACAACCGTTAAAATGGTTGCCCGGTCGATATACTGAACAGTAAGGCTGTTATCGGATATTTTCCCCAAAATTGACTGGGGCAAATGGAATTAGTTTTTCTGTCTTACCAGTAACCGTCGGCTCAGAGTGTTCTCTTTGGGACATGTGGTGAATACAATGCTTCGCGTATCAATTGCTTGTCACATATTTATATGGAGACTCAGAGTTAATGTAAAGTGGAAGTTCTCACTTCCTTGTACTAATCAACACAGCTAGTTACAGTTAAACTCACGTGAATATACTCGTTTCTTTGATACTTAAACCATTTCTTACGTGCAGAGTATGACGTCATAGTAAGTACTATTCCCTTATGTGAACGTCCGCCTGCCAATCTCTGGAGAGCAAAATTCTGTAGAGTTAATACTATGACTGTTCTACATGATTAATAAGGTAATTGAATACAAGAACATAAAAATCTCGTCTAGTAAAAAAACTCTATTTAAATGCAATCTTCATTTTTTGGTTTTTAACGTAGAGCGAAGATATCCATTTCGACAGACACACTGGTGAAAAAAATCACCTTTCAATACAGAACCTTCCTCAAATATATTTAGTTTGCTCATTTAGTGACGGAGATAAATGTACATGAATCGGCTAAAAATTACTAAAGGAAATCTTAAGCTATTTTTAGTTGAACTTTGTCCAGACTCTGTGATTGTCAGTCTGTAAGTGTTTGACTCAAAAGAATACTCTCTTAACCGCTCTATAGCACAAGCCAAATACATTAATTAGAACGGTCCTCAAGATCACAATACGCACCTTGGTAAGTCAAAAGAGGAGAAGAGCAATTATTTCTATCACAGAGAATCAAAGACATCAATTGCTGAAAGCTGCTTTGGGCGGAATCAAAGCGTGTACTTTGAACACTCCCAGTCGCTTTACCTTCCATGTGAACACTTATTCTCGAAAATACTCGCCCGTAGTTCAGTAGTCGTTTGCAAGTCTGTTACAAATTCGGTCATTTCTAAGGTTGTGGAAAGCTCACAGCCAAGGGGGCCTACGATTTCAAAATGTACTTTGCAGTTTTTTTAAGAAGAGAAAAAACTAGAATGTTTTTTTATTTCTTCCCTTATGGAATGGATAAATCTACTCATTTGGTGGAAATGTACCTTCCTCGAGCTTCCGTTTGAGTCCTCAAAACAGTTATAGAAATAAAAGGGAAGCTTACTGTTTTAGGCGATATGTGGGAATCAAAGAGCCTCAATGTATGTTAAGAGTACTTTAAAAGCTGTTGTCTTCAAACAGTTAGATACCGACAAACATTTATTATCTCCAAACTGAAGCGTCTGCGCCTAGGATGGTCTTAAAAATCTCATATTTTTGTGTAGGCCTTCCAATAGTTACAAAGGACGCAGACAATGCCTCAAAGACCGCTGTTAATTACAAAGGGCAGAGAAATATATCTGGAGGACTAAGCTTTCCATTAACGAACGTTAATATTGATGACATTGTTAAAAAAATTATTGTATAGGGAAAAGAGGAAACGTTTATCTGGTGGAGACGTTTGGATGGATATTTTAAATTGATCCCTTACTTAGGTGCTAACGTAAGGGAGTTCAGAAAAAAGTCATTCCTTGTTTATTTTTGGTCAACCGATGGCTGCTATCTAGATGCAAATAGAGAAGATAACAGAGTCTTGCACGGATCTTGTTTACCAATCAACAGATTATATTGGTGAAGAAGACGTACCTGGAATGCGAATATTCTCTCTCATTCGTGAACAGATTATAGTAATGATCTTTTGATGAGGCCAAGACATTATCCCTTAACTAGTGCAATCTGAAGCAGCGAGGCATCATTGATCGAATTTAAGGGTTGATACGCCTTCTCCAGGGTCTTCCTAAAAGCTTCTGTCTGCAGATTCAACAACAGGTCACGTACCGACAAACAAGCTGCAATCTTTCTAATTCAAGATATAACTCCGTTTTATGATACTCTATGATAATCTACACTATATCCCACTCCTCGTAATAATCAAGTGTGTCTGATAGTCGTCTGGTGGATTCTAGATTTATTGCTAAGGGAAATTCTGCGTGTGTAGTAAGCATAATGCATCAGAATTGGTTGACTCCGTACTTTACTGTAGACTAGGAGGGTAAACCGATTCAAGTGTGATATACTTCACGGTTGTCAATAGGGCCTAAATAGCCCAGTTGGCTAATGTCTTGGCCGTAATAGAGCCCTCCCTTGCTGGGTTGTGTTCGAATCCCACCTGGGTCGCCAATGTTTTAACAATTGTGTGAAATTAATTGTTCATATCTGCCAAACCGCTCATAATAATTTACAATTATTTGTAAAAAAAAGTATTTCTAGGACCGGGATATAAAAACAGTTGGTATATTTTTACTCTTTAATTATCTCGTGAGCAGCAATAGAACTTCGAACACAAGCAATGTCATGAACGTATTCTATAACGAAGATCTTAGGTCAAGAAGTATATGACAATGTACTTTTCTCATAGCCTATAAATAACTGATATTTCTATAAAACAGATTATTATTTTTATTAGACATTGGTTAAATTAACTTCTTTGTTAAATGAATTAATGGGTTTTACGAGAGCAGCAATTTATAATAACAATTTCGCACATCCTGCCTACCCTATAACACGTGTAATAAAAATGAAAAATATATTTGCTTTTGCGCTCTGATCGACATATTATGCAACCGCTAACAGATGCGCTCTTTTTTCGATACCCGGACTAGTTATAATTTTGAAAATGAAGTCGCATCACACGGCAGGTAGCGAAATAAGAGCATATAGTATGAATGAAATAGACGAGAAACGCAACCAATAATTTATAAAAATCTGTTTTCTCACCTTGCAGTAGCTGACTGAAAAACGTTCCATTATTACTCCAAGCACCCCGGGACATCAAAGACGATGATGAGTTGTTTGCAGAGTCTTCTTCAGCTTTCAGGTGACCAGTCAGGTCCTTGGTCTCGTGGCCTTCAGTTTCACCATCCTTTCCTAACTGGCCGTCGGAAGACTGTGTGAATGGCCAAACATGGGGTAGATTAAGGGGTGAGAGGGCACTGGATGGGGGCGGGCTGGTTGCCTTCACTGAGGTAACATTGACTGTGTGCGTCTCCTTGCCGGCGTGGAAGCAACTCCATGCGCCGTCAATTGCGGCATTATACCGATTGATGATGTACCTAAATTTCCAAATATTGTACATGTCGCGGACAAAGACATCCTCGACGCAGTCCACGCTGAAGAGTTCTGGGCTGTCGGAGCAGTCCGGTAGGCTGCAGACACGTTTGCAGTTCTCAAAACACAGTCGGGTCTCCTGCATCAGGGGACAAAGCAGATGGAGACTGTGCTGTTTTGAGGGTAGGGCGACCTCACAAGTGAGAATCACCACGTCCGCAGACGTATCCACG